CACCCAAAACAAAAACCAAAAAAAACCTAAAAAACCCAAAAAAAACCTCTCCCAACTTTCTGCTGGTGGCATCGGACTCAGACGATGAAAATAAATACGTGTCGCTCCGCACTGCTTTGGATCATTATCAAGCAGAACCCGTCATCGGCATGGACGCATGTCCTCTGGAAGGATAGTTGAAGCATGAAGGGACATATGAATCTTTAGAGCATCTGGCACGTAAATATCTTGCGATGCTGGCTACAACTGTGTCATGAAAACACCTGTGGCCACTTTCAGGTAACATTGTAAACAAGAAGTGGACAGCATTATCTCCTGCAAATGTAAACAAACTTGTTTGTCTGAGCGAATGACTGAACAAGAAGTAGGACTGAGTGAACATGTAGGCTCAAAAATTTTACATTGTTTTATTTTTGAGTGCAGTTATTTTTTTTTGTACATAATTCTACATTTGTAAATTCAACTTTCGTGATAAAGGGATTACACTACATTATTCGTATTAGGTGAATTGAAAAACACTATTTCTTTTGTTTTTTACTGTACACATATTTGTAATAAAAATAGTATACAGTGAGCACTTTACACTTTGTATTCTATGTGGCAATTGAAATCAATATATTTGAAAATGTAGAAAACATCCAAAAATATTTAAATAAATGATATTCTATTATTCTTTAATCACACGATTAATAGCAAAATTATTTTTTTTAATCACACGATTAATCACTATTAATTTTTTTAATCATTTGACAGCCCTAATTATGGCATTAAACTGATCTTGATGTTCCTGTGGTAAATGGTCAATAATAGCATTAAACTTCTGGTTATTCAGGAAGTCATATTTCGACATTAGCATTTTGTGATTTGCAATCCTAATATGTAATGTCACCAAAAAGACGCTTTTATGATCAAAATAGTCCAGACACTTCTGATCCTTGTTATATGGGGCAGCTTTAGGAATATGCGGTCTACACCTTTCATTAACTGTGTCCATGACCAGAGAATTTGATGTCAGGTGTAAAAACAAAACTCGGGATCCCTGGCCCAGGTGTAGTATTTTTTAATTGGCACTCTTGCAGGTAGGGTGTGCTGCTGCTGGAATTTGGCCCTATGGTCTTGGCTGGCTCAAGGAGAGCTTCATTAAATTGGTAGTGTCACCAGCGCTGAAGTAGAAGTATGTAATATGTCCAGAAGCTAGTGATGGGAATCCTGGATTTCTTCCAGGGGAATTTGAAGTGTGTTCACCATCTGCTTCAGCGGGTCCTGGAACTGCTGAAAGTCATCAGCTAATGATGATGATGGAAGCATTACTGCCTAATCAGGCAATGAAGAAGAGATATTTGTATGGTGGGTGACCTCCTTGTCCACCTTCGCCACTTGCTCCACAAAGGTCTCCTCTGCTGATTCAGCATAGAGGGGACGAATGGAAGGTACTGGAAAATGAGGTCTTCTATGCTCCTTATGAGACTGAATTAGGGACCCTGAAAACTGCAGATAGTATTCTGCCCATGGGTCCCAATAAGGCCAAAGAGGAGGTCCATAAGGCACAGGGGGAGGTAGCCATTGCTGATGATCCCACGTATTAATAAGCAGAGAACTTATATTCTTCCTTCCTTCCATCTGCAGAGAACAACATCTCCTTGAGCAAATACTATTATTTGAGCAAATAAACTGGAAAGCCTTGAACAGAAAGCTGTGAGTCTGACTACGAATGCTCTTCTACATATTGTAAAAGAAGTTACAACAGTTCTTTCTGAATGGTAGAAATTGGGAAGTAGTGCATCTGAATACAACATGCACAGCTGATGACTGAGCAGCTCTCGGTACTGAAAGATGTCCGGAAGTTGCAAGGATGGGAAACTCAGGAGGGTACCGGAACTCCTGTGGTACTTGGAGCACAATCGAACATGGTACAGGCACTGAAGTTGTTCTCAATGTCACTGTCCGAGTTGTTGATCATGGGTCTGAGGGTACTGCAGATTCCAGTGAGGCTACTCTCTTACTAGCATAGGCTCTGATGGCAGCCACAGTAATAGTCTGATTCCATACCCTTTGTCGGCAAGGTATGGGACTTAGATGAAGTCTTAGAGTGCTTCATGGTACCCAAAGTACTTGGCGCCTCAACAGCACTCCTCACAGGGCCCTGAGGTCTCTGGTTCCTGAATCATCTTTGAGAAAGAACTTCCCATTCTCCTTCACTTACCTGCCCCCCTCCTTAGTCTTTGAGTGGTAAACTCTTGGTACCAATGAAGCAATTATAGGTACCTTGCTAATGGAGAGTGTCAGAGACCAGGATCTCAACGCTGCCTTCACCTTGGAAGCTCTCGTGATCATGATCTCCATGTAGACAGGACATTAGCAAAGGGCTCCTGTTTAGGGGGTTGCCTGTCCGAAGTCGGTCTTAAGGCTTTCTCCATCACTAACACATTATACTTAAATCTCCCTGTTTTTGTGGGTTCTTCCCTTAAAACAAGTGCAAATATTCCACTTGCTGGGGATATGTGAGTCTCCCAAACAATATGCTGAAAATGCTCATAACTGACGGGAATCACTTTTCAACAGGAGAGGCACGTTTTAAAATCTGGTGAGCCTGGCAACCCAGATACAAGAAAAAAAACCTGACACCTCAGTAAGGGAAAAAACAAAAACAAAATTCCCCCAAGAAAAAGGGAATAACAGTTCCAACAACTATAAAGTACTAAGAATCCTACCAACTAACTAAAGAACAAACACTATATACTACATTCTAACTCTAAAGAGGAAAACAGGCACACACTAAACTCTCTCTGTTCAAATGTGATTGAGAAAGAACTTAAGGCTGTTTACCCAGGTTGCGCTACATTGCCTTGGTATAGGGCACGGAGATGTGACGGACGCATGTGCAGGCTGAACAGGCAATGCTACCAAAAATTTCGGATCAAATTTTTCCATGGGTGAAATTTAAAAAAAAGTAGGGAGAAGTATGGATAAATGTGGAATTCTCACAAACCTACAGAAAGTTTAAGCCACTGAAATCAATGGTTTAATGGTGTGATGCTCCCAGATAGATTTTTGTGAAAAATAAAGTTACTTTTAAACTTTTTCCCCCACATTTAGATAAAAGATAAAACAACAACTCTGCTAGAGTTTAGACAAGTAGATGGATATATTATTTAAAGTAAAAACTTGAGAAAAAAAGTTTTAAGTTTTAAAAATAAATTATACTTTGTTTTAAAGTATATTGAATCATGTCATTTACGATATCAAAAGTTTGCTGAAGCTTTGTGCATTGAGATTTTTACAAAATGCACAGGTTCATTTTTTTAATATATAAACATGAAGGTTCAACCAATACATAGTATTGGTCTTCACTTTCATTATGATATATAGTTTATTTATGTTCATAAAAACTGTACAGTTCAAAGGCAATCATGAAATAGCTCAACTTTAAAACCGAGCCCTTAGTTCCCAACAATAATTTTTCAAGTCACTGCAAAAGTGGGTCTATTATATCTCCTCTATATAGCAACATCAAGTGCAGATTCAAGGCAAATTCTCCAAATCTCTCCACCTGATTAAACCAAATTTCTCATCTTTCCTCCCAAGCCCTCCCTTCTCCAACACTGTGTAAATTTTTAATCTCTTTTGACACCAAAGCTTGAAAACTCGGTCATATTTGACTTTTCTCTCCTTCTTCCACATCCAAGCATTTGCCAAACCCTAGTGATTCTTTCTCTACAACATCTCCCAAGATTTACTCTTCTCTCTTTATTGCTACTTCTGATCCTGTCCTGCCACAGGTTCTCTCTTGCCTCAACTATTCAACCCACCTCTCTTCTTACAATACTGATTGTCACTTTGGTTTTCTTCAGTCTATACATAATTAAATTTCTAAAAGTATTTTCCTCCTCTGTTACTCACACAACATTGCCCCCAGTTTGAGTCCCTTCACTGGCTACCACTTGCCTTCCACATCAAGTTGAAGCTTATGTTCCTAACTTACAAGGCCCTGCAAAAATCCACTCCTCCTGACAAATCAGCACTTTTTCCTGTTCATCTTCTCATGTACACTGCCTTGCTCAAGTTTCTAATCTACACATACTCTTCATCTCCTCCTATCACTTATTACTGTACCTTATTCCATGCTACTCCTATCCTTGGAAAACACTTCCTAACCTTATACACTGAGGAATAACGACACCTATCATTTAAAAACTTTATTAAAACTCATTTATTTTGCAAACCCTAACACTAACCTTTTAAAGATACATTGTTCTTTTACGTATTTATGAACAGCAAACAAAAAAGCAAGCGAACGAACACCTTTTACTTCTCTCTTCCCCTTGGGCCCCCAAGAGATGTTGTTTCTCTGCTTTTATTCACCATTATCCTTCCCACCTCTTTGTCTATTGTCCTTTCTCTGCAATGTCTGTCTATCTATTGATTGTAAACTGCTCCCAGCAGAGATCATCACTTGCAAAGCAACATATACACCTCAGGCAAAAAGCCTTTGTTACAAATTTTTTAAAGATATACTACTCTCAACCTGATTTCATCAAAATCCTTCAAATTTGCAATAAGGAAATCCTGTAAGATTATGTATGTTCTATATTTTATTGAATTAAAACCCAAACAGTGACACTGTAAATGCCTGGATCAAAAAGCACTATGAACCCACAACATACTAAGTCCCATACTAACAGTGGGAGGAATTTAAAAAAAACCATTATTTTCAGTATCACAAAACGTTACCTGTATATTTGCAGTTTCCCCACAGAAACCATACAGAAGCATATAGAACATTGTCAGTACTGAGGCAGACTTGTTAATCTAAGGAAATGTGACCAAAAAGGACGTTTAACTCAGGATGGAATTATGTTATACGAATATTAGATGTTCAAAATGTTCAGGTTGCAGTTCACAAAACACACTATTCACTTGCTATTGCAACAAAAAGTATACCCATCTATATTTACTTTAGCATTAATTTCAGTACTGGACATACTGAAAACAAACCATACCTTCTTTATCAGGTTCAATATCTTTAGTCTCAATGTCTGTGCTGCTCACTGGTGTCTTTTCATTATTGCTGTATTGTGGTACTTCAGTATTAGACTGTTTCACCAAATCAGCTCCCTGATTTTCACCAGAAGCTTCTGTTTTTTCCTTTGGCTGATCTTCAGACACAGCTTTTTGCTCATTATGAGGCACATCATCATTGTCACATGCTGAAACATCAACTGGTTCTGCTTTACCATTCTGACATTCTGGAACAGGTATCCCCTCTAAGCTGTGTGCAGATGCCTCACCATTCACGCAGTCCCACTTAGATGGAGACTCCTTCCTTGATTCCTTTTCAGCATTCACAGTAAGACTGTCATTTACTAACAGGGATTCATTTGAACTCTCTTCTTCTGTTGATGCGAAACTGTTTTCTTTTCCTGTTGTCCCATTGTTAAGTCTCTGTTCTGCATCTATATCCATGATATCACAAGAGGACTCATCGTTTGTCATAGACAGATCTCCCATTTCCTCTCCATTCTCCTCAATGCAGTCTGTGCTGATTTCTAGTTCCCCATTCTCCAGCAGCTTCCTGCCCTCCCCATGATTTTCATCATCGGCAAATTTTGCATCATCTTCATCTTTCTTCAGATTGACTTTTCTCTTTTTAATAATGCCTTTACCCCACTGCGAACGTCGTCTTGATTTCCTCCTTATTCGAACTGAATTGGAAGAGACAGAAAACACGTCACTTTTAAATGCACATACATCTGCAACACATGGGTTAAGATAATTGACACCCACCATTCTCAAACTTTCCACAGTGGGGGATTTTCAAATTAGCACTGAGCTAATTCTGCTCCCACTGAAATCAACAGCAAAACGAACTCCCACTGGCTTCAATGAGAGCAGAGTCAGGCCAATGCCGACCACTTCTGAAAGTCCCACCCATCGTGGATATTTTACACTAGCCAAATATGCAGGAAGCACTAATTAAATTAATCTGTAAGGCCACTCCTCTTTCCTTCTTCACATTCCTCATGAAAACCTACTTCTATTTAGACCACTAAACATCAGGCAGACAATTATAGCTGTGGAATGCAGAATTTGAGAAAAGCCAATTTTACTTTCACTTTTTTTTTTTTTTTTTTTTTAAAATCTTCAGATGACTTGGAACTATTATGTTGTGCAAGAATTAAGCTGCATAACCCCATGACCTTATTTTCATTACCCTTGTCCTCCCTTCTACTGTATGCTTTGTTTCAAGGCAGATTACATATTGTCTGGGATGTGGCAGTATCTTTTAAGTGTGTATATGCATTGTCTAGGACAGCCGAACCCCAATCTCAAAAGGGGTTTTTGGTTATGTTCCTAATATAAACTTCAAACAATAGCTCAGGAAGAGTATTCACCTGTAATGTCGAATTTCAGTGTATCTTGTAAGAGCACAGATGATGAGAAAAAGTGTATTTTAGTAGATTGAGCAAAAGACAGGTAGATGGGAACTCCTGGATTCCAATTTCTGCTATGATACAGATTACTTATGCTCTTTGGCAAGTTATAACCACTTTGCAAGAGCTTTTCCATCTAAAAATGGAGGCTGCTATACTTAAAGTGGTCACATTGTTTTCTCTGGAGAGATACTGCCAGCACAAATCAGTATTAACGGGAAGCTCTCTCAAAGTGACAGTTTCTTTCATTTTGAAAGACTAAGTCCATTAACTATACCTACCCACCTCACCGGATCAGTTATGAAAATCAGTGTTCATAAAGTTGCTCTGAAGATGCTAGTACCATGTGAGTGCTGCGCATTAAATGACAAGAGGCCAGAGAAACATAACTAAATGTAATGTTGAGAAAGTCTTCCCTGATAGTGCCACTTAATCTGATAATGTAACTAGTTTCAAGCCTTTACTAACTACAACATTAATAAAAAATGTCATTAACTTTTTAGTTTAAAAAGTTCTTAAAAGGACACATTCACCTTGAAAATCATAAGTTAGGGAAGTGGATTGGATTGAAGAACTTGTGGATCTAAAGGCAGGAGGAGGCCTGGAATAACTTCAAGTCAAAGTTGCAGAAACTATCAGAAGCCTGCATCCCAAGAAAGGGGAAAAAATTCATAGGCAGGAATTGTAGACCAAGCTGGATGAGCAAGCATCTCAGAGGTGATTAAGAAAAAGCAGAAAGCCGACAAGGAGTGGAAGATGGGAATGATCAGCAAGGAAAGCTACCTTATTGAGGTCAGAACATGTAGGGATAAAGTGAGAAAGGCCAAAAGCCATGTAGAGTTGGACCTTGCAAAGGGAATTAAAACCAATAGTAAAAGGTTCTAGAGCCATATAAATAAGAAAACAAAGAAAGAAGTGGGACCGCTAAACACTGAGGATGGAGTGGAGGTTAAGGATAATCTAGGCATGGCCCAATATCTAAACAAATAGTTTGCCTCAGTCTTTAATGAGGCTAATGAGTAGCTTTGGGATAATGGTAGGATGACAAATGGGAATGAGGATATGGAGGTAGATATTACCACATCTGAGGTAGAAGCCAAACTTGAACAGCTTAATGGGACTAAATCGGGGGGCCCAGATAATCTTCATCCAAGAATATTAAAGGAACTGGCACATGAAATTGCAAGCCCATTAACAAGAATTTGTAATGAATTTGTAAACTCAGGGGTTGTACCGTATGACTGGAGAATTGCCAACATAGTTCCTATTTTTAAGAAAGGGGGGGAAAAGTGATCCGAGTAACTACAGGCCTGTTAGTTTGACATCTGTAGCATGCAAGGTCTGGGAAAAAAATCTGAAGGAGAAAGTAGTTAAGGACATTGAGGTCAATGGTAAATGGGACAAAATACAACATGGTTTTACAAAAGGTAGATCATGCCAAACCAACCTGATCTCCTCCTTTGAGAAGGTAACAAATTTTTTAGACAAAGGAAACACAATGGGTCTAATTTACCTCGATTTCAGTAAGGCATTTGATACGGTTCCACATGGGGAATTATTAGCTAAATTGGAAGAGATGGGGATCAATATGAAAATTGAAAGGTGGATAAGGAACTGGTTAAAGGGGAGACTACAACGGGTTGTACTGAAAGGAAAACTGTCAGGCTGGAGGGAGGTTACTAGTGGAGTTCCTCAAGGATCGGTTTTGGGACCAATCTTATTTAATCTTTTTATTACTGACCTTGGCACAAAATGTGGGAATGCGCTAATAAAGTTTGCGGATGACACAAAGCTGGGAGGTATTGCCAATACAGAGAAGGACCAGGATATCATACAGGAAGATCTGGATGACCTTGTAAACTGGAGTAATAGTAATAGGAAGAAATTTAATAGTGAAAAGTGCAAGGTCATGCACTTAGGGATTAATAACAATTTTTTTTTAAGCTGGGGACGCACCAGTTGGAAGTAATAGAGGAGGAGAAGGACCTCAGAGTATTGGTTGATCACAGGATGACTATGAGCCGCCAATGTGATATGGCCATAAAAAAAGCTAATGTGGTCTTGGGGTGCATCAGGCGAGGTATTTCCAGTAGAGATAAGAAGGTTTTAGTACTGCTATACAAGGCACTGGTGAGACCTCATCTGGAATACTGTGTGCAGTTCTGGTCTCCCATGTTTAAGAAGGATGAATTCAATCTGGAACAGGTACAGAGAAGGGCTACTAAGATGACCCAAGGAATGGAAAACCTGTTTTATGAAAGGAGACTCAAAGAGCTTGGCTTGTTTAGCCTAACCAAAAGAAGGCTATGGGGAGATAGGATTGCTCTCTATAAATATAGCAGAGGAATAAATACCAGGGAGGGAGAGGAATTATTTAAGGTCAGTACCAATGTGGACAAAAGAACAAATGGATATAAACCGGCCATCAGGAAGTTTAGACTTGAAATTAGACAAAGGTTTCTAACCATCAGAGGAGTGAAGTTCTAGAACAGCCTTCCAAGGGGAGCAGTGGGGGCAAAAGACATATCTAGCTTCAAGGCTAAGCTTGATAAGTTTATGGAGGGGATGGTATGATGGGATAGCCTAATTTTGGCAATTAATTGATCTTTGACTATTAGTGGTAAATATGCCCAATGGCCTGTGATGGGATGGGATCTGAGTTACCCAGGAAAGAATTCTCTGTAGTGTCTGGCTGGTGATTCTTGCCCACATGCTCAGGGTTTAGCTGATTGCCATATTTGGGGTCGGGAAGGAATTTTCCTCCAGGGCAGATTGGCAGAGGCCCTGGGGGGTTTTCGCCTTCCTCTGCAGCGTGGGGCATGGGTAGGGTGACCAGATCACCACACTAAAATATTGGGACACACTGGCCCTGCCCACAGTCCACCCCTGCTCCTCCTGGGCTCCGCCCCCTCCCCACTCAGCCCCCCCACTGCGCCCTTCCTCATCCCCCTGCTTGATGCGACCTCCTCAGTCTCCCACCCACCGCTTGCCTCCTCACCCGTCACTCACCCCTACGGCGGTGACTTCTCTCTCCCGGGTGGGTGCTCGCCCACCTGCTGCCTCTTTCCGCCCCTGCAGCGCCCTCACCTCGTCCCCATTCCACCCCCTTCCCCGCCTCTGCTCTGCCTCCTCCCCTGAGCGCGCTGTGTACCCACTCCTCCCTCCTGGAAAGCGCTAAGCGCTGCCAAACAGCTGCTTGGCCACGGGAAGTGCTGGAGAGGGGACGCGGCGCGCTGGGGGGAGGGGGAGGAGAAGGAGGCGAGGAGGGGGGAGTTTGGCTGCAATTTTTCCCCGTGGGTGCTCCCTCCCGCTGGCCTCCTTACCCGAATATTGGGACAAATGGCATCCCGATCGTACATTGATCGGGACGCAGGCCAAAGGGTTAAATATCGGGACAGTCTCGATTTTATCAGGACATCTGGTCACCCTAGGCATGGGTCATCTGCTGATGGATTCTCTGCACCTTGAAGTCTTTAAACCACAATTTGAGGATTTCAATAGCTCAGACATAGGTTAGGGGTTTGATACAGGAGGGGTGGGTGAGATTCTGTGGCCTGCATTGTGCAGGAGATCAGACTAGATGATCATAATGGTCCCTTCTGACCTTAAAGTCTATGATTCTATGATTCTACCTGAAAAGTGTATATACTATTGTTACGAGTAACCTCTAAGAATACTAGAGCTGAAAGAGTTTTGAAAAGAAAAAAAAAAATTCTCCCAGCTTAGTTTGTGTATTCAACAGCACTTTCTACACATCAATTTTACTGTATTGTTAATGATCAGCTGCATTCGTATCATGCACAACTTTGGTGCAGCTCATATACACTTCTCCAGGTTCTACAAGAAGGCATTCACCAATAATAGAAGCAGAAAAATTCAAACTGAAGGGGCAGAAGCAGGTGTACACAGAGAGAAAGCTCCACTTTTGGGGGACTCCCAATATGCTTGCTCTCAGGCCTACTCAAAAAGATGGTCTAGGTATACTTGGGCCTGCCTCAGCATGGGGAGGGGGGGGGAAGGAGGAGGAGGGACTAGATGATCTCTCGAGGTCCTTTTGGACCTATATTTTTAAGGTTCTATGACCCTTACAAAATACAGCAGGGGAGCAGAAACCTTACAACAATTCTTTAAAGGAATTTTCAAATAGCAGAGGACTTACTTTTTAAAAGGTTCTCCATCAGAAAGTTGAATTTTTAAAAACTGTTAATTTAAAACAAAAAAAGCATAGTTCCTTTAATGTCGGTTCTTTGCTGCAAGTAAAAGATTAAATA